TCTGTATGTAAGTCAGAACTGGCGGTCAGTTTCAGCAGCGGCTGAATCTGGACACCAGTTCCGATTTACATACAGATTCAACTTAAGAACAAACCTACAGTCCCTATCTTGTACGTATCCTGGGGACTGCCTGTAATCATGGCATGATCCAGAACTCTGTGCTGAGCTGTTGCTCCCTTTGGAAGTTACAAACTTGGAAATCCCTTTTGCATAGAATCTGGCATGGGCATCATAGCACATTCATATGCTAAACTTATGCATCTGCAATGGAGGATACAGCTTGCCATCCTTTGCTCCAAAGACACAAGCCTTTACAGCTTTAGCTAAAGACGACTCTTTGTTCTCTGTCACTATAGCAGCAGAATGGTTTTTTTTTTCCTGTAGGCCAATTATTGGAGGGGAATGATACACCAACATACACTATACTTTATGCTAACAAAAGGGGAGCACAGAATGTTTTAGAAAACCTGCTGGAACACTCAAATTTTAGAATATCACCCCTATATTTTTATATTATATTATTATTATTCCCAACACTGTATGTGTTTATTTATATTTTTAAATTAATATAAGGCTCATTCAACTTGCTGTCCCTGAATGGTGGGAGTTCAGGACTGACATGTCAGATACACCCCATGGGGCTCCAGTACTGACACTGGGCAGGTCATTATTATCCTTGCTGCCATATGGCCATCATGCCTGCCCCTTGTGGGCCACTGGAGATTTGGCTCTCTTACGGACCTTCGAGTGACCAGGCTGGAGCCATAAATGCCTGAGTCTGTCAGCTGACCCTTGTCAGTGACTGATAAGGAAAGAGCAAGGAATGATGCCTGGATGAAGTGCAGTACAAGGAAGTCAGAGACTAGTGCTTTGCCTGGGAACAATCCTCTACCAATGAGGATTTACACTGGGGGCACTGCTTTGGAGATGGGGACCTGCACTGTGGTGATCTCTGGTACAAGGCCTGGCAGTACTGCCTGTACAGGGATTGGCGTCCTGACTTTGGCTCCCTGACTTGGGCATCCCATGCTTCGTAGGTGGCAACCTTAGTGTTAAAGAGCTGGAGACTGAGGCAGCAAGGTCCTAGGCCATGGTGATCAGTATCAACGCCTGTGGTCTGGGGACAATCTATTGCTTTGGAGGGAGTTCCCATAACTTAGAGGTCTGTGCCTTATCTGGCTTATTGCCTAGCTTGGCATCTGAGGTGCCAGGCAACCTACTTGGTCCTTGGTCACAGGGGCTGCCTCAGACCCAAGTGCTGCTCTCAGGAGTTGGAGGTAGACTCCTGGTAAGGTTAGGGGGATCTAACCACAGCAGTATCCCCATGCAACTCTGGGGCTGCCACACATCCTAGCATATCCTTTCCCTGAAACCCCTTTTCCTGCAGTGCTAATGCCCTTCGGCTCCAGTAACTTCTTGGGCATTGATGAACGTGAATAGTGGAGGGCTGGGTCTGGTGCTGTGCTGATGCTGAAGTACTTGATGTGCAGACTGTCCAGTAGGGCTCTGGGAGCGGACAAAACACAGCTTCATTCAGCTATCCCACTCCTTTTGAGTTTAAGGTAGAACAATGTGGTTTTTCTGTAGCCATATGGGAAGGTCTGTAGCCATATTGGTAGGCCTTCTTCTGCAGCCAGATTGAAGAACAATCTGTCTGCAGAAGACGCTGTAAAGCCTGGAGTCACAGACTCATATTCCATCTAAACTGCATTAAAATAGTGTCATACCAGGCTGTCAGAAAGAGATCCTGTCCTAATGGACCCACTGTTACCAGATAAAGAAACAGATCTCAAGATGAATACAGTAAATTTAGTTAACAGCATGTAGTCTGGTAAGAAACTGCTTATCAATAGTTGAGGTTGTGGAATCCTCATTCTATGAGTATTGTCCTCACTTTCCTATTATTTGTCTGTGCGATCTCTGTCTGGTTTGTAACTGTTCCTGTCTGCTGCATAATTAATTTTGCTAGGTGTAAACAACTAAGGTGGTGGGGTATGATTGGTTAGGTAATTCTGTTACAGTATGTTATGATTGGTTAGTAAAATATACTGAAATAATTGGTTAAAGTACAGCTAAGCAGGACTCAAGTTTCACTATAAACTGGGGTCCAAGAAGGAGATGAGAGGAAGAAGGAAGCAAAAGGGAAGAAGGAAAGGAACACTAAGAAGAAGGAGGGAAAACCTGGAAGACCTCACCTCCAAGACACAGCCTAAGATCAGAGCTGCCAATATTCCTCCTCACGACCATGAGGTGCAGCAGCTAAGACCCAGATAGACTGACCTTGCCTAGCCAACAGGGGAAGTCTGCCTGATCAGGATTGGTGAGCATGGCACTGTGTGCTTAGCATGTGTATTCTGCTTCCTTGGGAATTGTCAATAAACAGAGAATAAGAATATTACTGTATAAGGCTCTTTCATTGGCAAAAGATCCTGCAAACCCACAGGAAGTTACACCCTGAGCCCTAGGACTTGGGTAAGGGTGGGTGTCCCTAAAGTGTAGAAGGTACAGAGAAATTTGTGCGGGTAACAGAGGGCGAAGTTCTTGCAGATCCTGCACTTGTCTTTTCTGTGCGATTTTCCCCAGACACATCAAACAGCAATCGTGGTGGTCACTAATGGGTACTGTGTCAGACAGAAAGCAGGGGGCTGCAGGAGTTTGGTGGAGGGCAGATACACCAGTAGTTGGGTGTGTGGATTTATGTTCCCTGAATAGGCTGCCAGAAACTGCTGCTCAGTCATCAGATCAGGCATACACCTGAAACTCATTAGGAACCAGCCTGCAGTGCAGCCTAATGTAACACTTGTTGCCAGCTAAGGCCTGTGGACTCTCTATAAAAGCCTTCCTCTCAGGCAAGGCAGGGGAAGGAGAAGAGGGGCAGACTGGAGAAGAGGAAACTCCAAGTGGAGGCAAAAACTACATGCCGCAAGCTGGGCGGGGGCGGGGGGCGGGCAGGGGTTTCCCCAAGATGCAAGGGAGGAGGTACCAAGGGAATGGTTGGGGAAATGGCCCAGCGAGGGGCCGTTATTCTGTGGAGATATGGGCAAGGGACCTACTAGTGGTTGCCACATAGGGAGGGCCCTGGGCTGGAACCCGGAGCAAGTGGGAGGGACCAGGTTCACCCTAACTCTCCCCGTGGCTGGTGGGGTGCCAACATGGTCAAAGGACCCTTGGACTGTGGAGGAGTTTGTCTCTCAAACTAGTGACCGGCCGATGATGAAAATAGCTCATGAAGCAGGGTACCCTCGCCTCTGAAAAAAGGAAGAGGCCGCAGTAGGGTCACCATGAGCCTGTGAGGCACACAAAAACTCACAATCTGTATGTAAGTCAGAACTGGCGGTCAGTTTCAGCAGCGGCTGAATCTGGACACCAGTTCCGATTTACATACAGATTCAACTTAAGAACAAACCTACAGTCCCTATCTTGTACGTATCCTGGGGACTGCCTGTAATCATG